TTGACCAAACTGGTAGATAGGGGCTAATCTCTCTCGCATCGAGGGGAGTCGATCTCGCATCGCAGTGGCTAAAGTTAATAAATAGCCCTTGTAAATCTATGCATATAACAAAAAAGTAACTTAGCGAAATCTGTACATGAAATATTTTTTAAAAACAATGACTGTAAAGTGTACCTACAGAATATAGACCCCATAATAATAGTTATTAAAAAATGTCTGCTTGTCTGTTTGGGTGTTCGTCTTTCACGCAAAAAGAAAGTAAGGTTTTAAGTGAATCGTATTAAATAAATTGTAATAATTGGGACTTTATGTCTCACGACTTCAATCCCTACATTTAAATATTAATTATTTAATTATTAACATAGATATTACGTATTAATTTTATGAGTGTAAACAAATAAAGTATATATATATACTTTATATATACATATATATATATATATATATATATATATATATATAAACATACATATTACGGATAGTTAAAAAATACCTCCTTTTATATATATCATTAAAAAGTATTTGTATATAGCATTTGGGTAATTATAAACCCGACCGCCGCGCGAACGACTGCTTGTTCCGGACCGCATTTATCAAACGGAAATAATAAATTAAGTAAATCAAAACAATGATGTTTGCAAATCCATTTAAATAGACTGCTCCGTAATGCGGGATCATCGAGCAGTGTGTACTTAATTACCTCCCGCCGCTGCGAGCTTCCACTTTTAGCGAGCTTGTTTGATAACACAAGTATTAAAAAAGCTTTTTTGATAGTAAAGGTCGAATTCAATTTTGTTTTGTTTGATTGGTTGTGGTAACGATAAAGATCGCGAGTTCGATTCTAGGTTATTGTTTTTACTGACTTATTTTTTCAGTACTAGTAGCTTTTGCTTTATCTTGCGTGTCTCTATGCACATAAACGATTATTAAGTAAACAAGTAACAAAAGTGGACAAACAAACAAAAAACTTTGTATTTGAATTTTATGGTATTCGACCGATGTGATCAATCTTACATTGATCTATACTTTAATTTAAATGAATGTATGTAGGTATATATATTATGAAGAGGTAAAGCTTTACAGTTTAGTTATAGTAAGCAATTACTACTGATTTGATTCTAAAAATTCCTTAATTAGCACCTAATTCATATACTAGGATAATTAGTATTATATTAGCTTCATCCAGGTATATAGAGCGGTTCCTGTGGGGTACTATGCGGGGTAGTCAACGCCTACGCGATTCGAGGGCGTATCGCCATTTAATTATATACTTTCCCGCCTCAATCAGTTATTTTAGTCGCATTCATCAAATGGGAATGATAAATGGAGTAATTTAACCAAAACAATGACGTTAGCGCAAACCCATTGAAACAGGCGGCGTCGTAATCCGTGATCATTGAGCCGTTCTTAATTACCGCTTGAGATATGAATGCGTCGGTATCGCGAGCAACCGCAGACGTTAGAATACGGTACGGCGTATTTTATTTACACGAGATTTAGTTAACTTACTATGGAAAAGTAGGAAAAATTCGTGTTATTTTTGTATTTGTGTGTGTTTTTATGCATTGTAAGATTATTATTCGGAGTGTCTATTTAGGTCGCGGGTTGGAGTCCTGCTGGGTGCACTGTTTTTACTCCAGTCATTGGTGTTTATATTTATAATATGTATGTATTATATGTATGTATGTATGTTATATATGTGTAGTGTATCAACTATCTGGTATTTATAACACAAGCCTCGCCTTACCATGGAACTAGATGGTGCTGTGTGTTAATGTCCCAACATATTTATTTATTAATATTATTAGGTAAATTGAATAACAACTAAGTTCATTAAGTTTAAACACCTGTATAAAATATAACGTTTATGTTATGATAATGTGCGTTAGGATTATGGTATAATAGCTTTCGAGTGTTATTTGCATGTAATTATAGTGAATTGTCTTATTATATGCTTATATGCTAGCCTGGCTTGCTTCCCAATACAAAATTTCATCCCCATTTTCACCTCCGTAAGGGATGATTTCCGGGATAAAAAATCCTATGTCCTTCCTAGGGTCTCAAACTATCTTCTTACCAAATTTAATCTCAATCGGTTCAGTAGATCCACACAGACAACGTCACAAACTCAAAAACTTACCTCTTTATAATATTTGTATAGATAAAATCTTATTTTTAAAAATGTTTTTTTTAATATTAATTTATTATAATGATTATTGGAATAATATTAAAATTCATAAAAGAGCCACAATTATAAAAAAGATAGAGACGTTTTGAAATAGAAAAATTAATTATGCACTCACTTCCAATACTAACACACTTCATGGCAAAAATGAAAAATAAAATGCTCAAAAACAGCGACAATATTCAAGCACACTATAGAATGCACCACAAAGAAGTAGAAGTAGAATGAGTACACACTACAGACTAACGTTAGAAGTTATATTTTTTATAAAAATAATATAATAACTGCTAATTAGTAAATCTAACAAAGGTTTTAAGTATATATATTTTTATAAATATCCCACGATGAGCTCTTTCATAGAAATTTATAACATCATTATATTATTATAATATCGATATATTTCACTGTAGTTAATTTATCTACTTGTTAGATATGTATATGTCTATTATTATTAGCGAGAATAGCATTTGTTAGTTTTAATGTAGCTAACAACAACGAAATTCAAACATCTCCTTATATGAAACAGCATATGATGAGCTGAAGTTTGCCCTAGAACCTGACTCCATGTGATGTATTGGGCACTTTATAACGTCCCACTGCTGGGCACCGACCTACGAGGGGGATAAAGACATAGTACACTACGCTGGCCAATGGCGAAAATTTGCTAGGTTCTCTCAGACATGCGGGTTTCCTCACAATGTTTCCTTAATCGTAAGATAGTAATAGTGGTAATCATGTTAGAAATGATTCGCACATGAAAATGGTGCGAGATCCGGGATTTGAATCTGCTTCACTCGGTTTCCCAAGCGAACGCGTTAGTACTGAGCTGCCACGGCTTTCTATGTGGTGTTTATTATATAATGAACTAATTTGTGGTATGCACTATTACTGTTTTAACGCGCAGTGAACGTACAGTCGACGCGTAGTCGACGCGCATGTGGTGAAATAAAGCGCTGATTAGTGTCGGTGCGATTATAGAACGTGGTGTACATTTGGCATAATAACTATAAAATGTTGAGCTGGTACGGATATTTGTATGATATCATTACATAATTTACTTGTATTCGCTAATATGATTTTTACTTAGAGATTATTTTTTATTATTTTCGCGCACAATTGGCGTAAGTGAAGGTTAATATTAGAGAATTACGTGTAATTATATAAATATGTTGTGACATTAACACACGGCACCATCTATTTCCATGGTAAGCTACGAGACTTGTGTAATGGATACCAGATAGTTGATACACTACATATGTATAAGTTTAAATACATACATATTACAAATATAAACACCTATGACTGGAGTACAAGCATTCGTGCTAATCACACAAATGAATGCCCCGAGCGGGGCTCGAACCTGCGACCGCTGGCATAGCAAGTAGGGTCACTACAAACTGAGCCCAACGTGTCGTCAACGTTACCTTTATAATTCAGTCTACGCAGTTTCACTGTGTATGTGTATAAGTAAACAACAAGATTTTTTTATATAGAATTTAAAATGAAAAATATATATTAAAATTAGTATTCATATTTTTGATCTGATTATTAGACGATTGCCACAATGTAATGCTAGCCTTATAACCTATCAAAGTGCTAACTTGTGCATTATTATGCTAAAATATTTCTTAAAACCTCTCACTTCAAGGGGTACGTTTTACAAAAATTAAAACGTGTAATTCCAGCGGATTGCAACGAAATATTCGCTTCATCATTAGCGAACTTGCTGACAATTTTGAGCTTCCAAAGTGGGATGCAAACGTGGAAACAATACAGCGGAAAAAATAAACAGGGGTGGAGGCGCGGCGACGCATATCCCTATCCTTGTAACGGCGGCGGCTGATTGCCCCTGAAAGGGTGAAACGAAACAAAAATAAAATGCTGATTAAAAGCTAGCAATACAAAGCGATTATCGGACTGTGCTCCTATTACTCTATTCCCTCGTATTGTTCGCGCCGATGTCGGATTACTTACTTTGACATTGTAAATCTTTTGTCGACGTCGCAATCCGCGGAGTGAAAGACTTTATCAATACCGCATACAATGCCTAGACGTTGTAGAATTACGAATTTTCAGTACAATTCCTTTTGAGCCCGTAATTACTTAGCTTCAATGAGATTGAAAACTCACTAACTTCTATGAGCAATTCGGAAGAAGTACGGAATGATGAAAATGGTAAGAATCCTTATCCAGATTATATCTACCTTGCGCTTAGTTAGATTTGTCGTTATTGTTAACATGAAATATATCTATTTTTAGTTATTTACGTTACCTAGCATTATAATATGATTTATGCTAAACTAATATATGTCATTTGGCAATATCTTATACGCCGCGCCGGAGGCCGTAGGTTCCATTCCAGCCAAAGTTGAAAATTATCGCCAACAGTTCAAACTGCACTCTTGTTACTGTCTGAGCAATTCTAAGCGTTGTCTAAATGTAAAAAGTCATATATTCTTCTTGAGAATGAGAGTGAGTCAAATTTGGTTTAGTCTTTCATTTAATGTATAATATTCGTAGCATATCTACATAATATATGTATGTATATCATAATCTAAGAAAATAAAAATATCAACAGCTGTTTCTAATATTTTCTGCCAGAAGTCAAAATTTTGACATGTAAATATTTAAAAAATGATCAAAGTAGTGAATAATAATCCAATAACCTATCTATCTGTGATTTTGCTTTCTAGTGATAGGAATTTGACATAAATTTTATGGAGCTTATGTCAAATTTCTACTTCTGGTAAAAAAAAACTTCAGATAGATAGGTTATTGAGAACCGCTGTAAATCTATTTAACACTAAGTACTCACGTCATGTAGCCACGACAGTTTCCTAGCGGGTGGGTTTGCTCGCACGTGGCATTCGAAGTAGACGTCGTCGCCTTCTTTGATGTCACCCGCCGCGAGCGAGCTGCCTAGTCGCAACTTCACTACAGGAGGATCTGTAACAATATATATGGTATAAGCGAATAATATTAGACATAAGGCCATATTTACAACGATTTTTAGATTTTCTTTCCTTCTCTTGTCTTGGAGCAGACAAAAGTACTACAGTAATTCCTTAATGTAATCTTTGTCAGAAGACAATATAAAGATATTATATAGATAGAGTGCTCAAAAGCCTAATATTTATCTTTTATAGTCTGTGGTTTCATCTTTACTTAGAAGCTTTTACTGTACTCTTTTTAATCTGTGGTCATTACGTTCATATACTTAATTAAAAAGGTCTTGTCTTGTTCATTAGAGAAATTATTTGCCCCGTTGTTAATGTATAAAATATATTGTTCTTCAAATAATACAGTATTTAACAAATAAAACATCAATTTAAGCAATCATCAGGCTTGCTTCATTGATTTTACAACAATCTTTTCTCCCATATTTATCTAACAATTAAATCACACATAATAATGCACATAAAGGACAGTAGTGTGTGTATGTTTAATAACCCTTAATGCTAAAAAAAAGATTCCGACGAATTGTGAGCCTCCTCCTTTTTGGAAGTCGGTAAAAAATGGCTGGTCGGGTTTGGATGTTTATTACATAGATGGACTGTGACCTGAAGAGACACTTAGTAATAAAATGTATCAAACCTAGGGATGTGCCAGAGCGAAGCGAAGCAAGTCATTAATATCACGATATGTACTTACAAACAACGCTTATAGTCCACGATGTTTCCAGGAACAAAGAGGTAACATTTGGGTTTTCAGCGCGGCAAGTGATGGGCTTGCCGTCGTCGTCCAGAGTCGGTACGAAGCTCATCACACTGACCGTGAGGTTGTCACGAAGCTCCTCCTGGGACAAGCAATAGTAAAATCTGATGAGTATTATGATCATTTAAAGACTTTTATTTAAGTATTTAAAATATTAAGGAATTAAGTTAGAACTAAAAACAGAAAAAGTCTTGAATCTGACTTAATGATTGAAATATACAGCCTAAGCCGTAACAGAGAAATAGTGCATATAAAGTCTCAGTAACACGATTAAAAACATATTTAAAACATTTAAGTGTTTTAAACTCTCTCATTTTATAAATACAAAATTTAGTTCGGGCACCAGTCGTTTATTTCTATCTACATCTATATATCATCATATATATATACATAGTATAATATAATAAATTTATTTGTGGTTACATTTGTTTGTGAGAAAATATAACGGTGTTTCATCAAAAAAAAAATAGTTTTCTCACAGAAAAACCACGATAGCAGGTGTCTATTTCCTAAGGTTAAAGGTACGCTCACAATAACTATTTTTATCGATGCAAAACGTATGCAGGGACGCCCGAGCGAAGCAAGAGTAAGTCGCTAGTTGCCAATAAATAACACATCGAGCTCATGGCTCGTAATAAATAATTGTATAAAAATCCCAAAAATCACTAAGAAAACCCTTTTATCGAGAAAAATAACATACTCAATTCACTACAGTGATTTATTTAATCACTACAATATTTTTCTTTTCAGAGAAAATATATTTACGTACAATTTACTCTAACATAAGTATTTTATAAATACATTGGCGTTTTCGATTACGTTTTCCGCGTCTCTCGCGTAAAGTACCGTTAAATGACTTTAACGCTTATTCCGTCCGTTTGTCCCTTTTGTCCATAAAAATGAAGAGGCCACTCGCGGGAAGGCAAGATATTAGGGGAAAGAAACGACGTAACAAGCGAAAAAATATTCACAAAACTCCAAAACAACACTCTGTTCTTATATTTAGCTAAGCTGTTTAGACAACACAGTGTAGTTCATAGGAAAATGGTAAGGTTTTTTTTAAATTAAATAGCTGTTGTTAAAGTTATTTATTAGTATCTTACTAGTATATAAACGTGTAAGTTTCGATGGATGGATGTTTGTTACTTAATTACGCTAGAACGGCTGAACGGATTTATATAAAATTTGGCACAGTCACAGATTATAGTCTAGATATTATATAGGCTACATTTTATTCCAGAAAAATAGATTATAGATAGATTTGTTTTTGTTTTTCACTAAGGACGAACCCGAGCGAAGCCAGGGTGAGCCGCTAGTATTATATAATTTGATGAACTTAGTACTATCGTTTTATAAGTAAAGTAAAATCAGTGTACTATATTGTAAATGCGGAAGTGTGTTTTTGTTTTTCTTCTTCATACAACAACATAGACTAATGATATTTGAATAAAAATTGTTTCGAATAATGACATCGGCCCTGTGGAGTAGTGAGTAGTTACTGAACTAATACAAAATAAAAGAACGAGTTCATATTAATGAATACAAGGGTGAAATCTGAATTTTTAAATGAATAAAACTATACAAAATGTAACAAAACCATATACAGTATACAATTATATAATAACATATTATTTTGATGTTTATAATTATTCATGCTTTTGCAGATATTTAGTTTGAAGCATACAATGAGGTCAGCTCGCATGAAGCGCGCGCTGTACCAATATAAATAGTTCATTTTGCAAAATAAACAACCAAGTGTAATGATATCTGGCCCATTTGAACAGGTTGGCTTTAGAAATTATTCATTGAAACTGTGTTGCTCCGATTTCATAACCTACATATCAATAATATCTAATGCAAAATGTTAAAGAAGTAAATTAATAATCTTAATGTATCGTATAGAATTAAAAAAAAACCTTTATTGCTTGTAGATGAGGTTTTTTGTTATTTTTTGTACGTACGAACCTGATCATGCAATGAAAAGCACCCATAAAATTTAAGTGTTTGTAACTTTCTCAAAACATTTTTTCCATATATTTAAATTTTTATTATATGTATGTGTTAATATATTAAAGCATTAATTAATTATAATTTTATAAACAAGCCTTTGATTAAGTTTAGTGTATAGGACCCATCAAAATTAATCAAATTAGCCTTAACTTGAAAGCTTTACTGGAAGCCTCCTATTTTCTTCTCTTGCCTCCATCATCATACCAGCTGATTAAGTTATATAAAAATATACTATCATCCAGATTTCACATAATTATGTTTCAAATCCATTCGACAGTTTATACTCGTATTTATATGGAAACACTGTAGTAAATATTTTGAAACGTCACTAAAACAATTTACTAGCCAAAGTAAGATTCAATCTGCAACTAGTAATATTTTCAACAGTAATCTTCATTTTTTTTCTTGAAAAGTAAAGTAATATAAACCTTATTTATACACTATGCAATTTGTAGATATAAGGTCTAAAATCAAGTAAAATTTTATTATTTTTTGATCATTTTCACCTTTGTAGATACAAATATTATATGAGTAAGTATGAAAGTGTTTGTTAATTTGTTCGTTTGCACATATTTTACGCAGCAGCAGAGCAACGGGAAAACGGTCATTTTTTCAAAGCGATGATTTATGTTTCGGGAAGTAACATGTTATATTTTATTTTGGCTCACCATAGCCAGCCCATAGCAATAATGTGGCTAGTTCATTGCTAAAAGTGCCATAAGGATGTAAATAAGTTTGTATGTATGTATGTGTGTGCGTGTTATAGTTTCATACTAAAATAGCTAGATTTGCTAGTATAATTGATGGGATGATCTGGAGTAACATAGGCTACTGTTAGCTACGTATTTTGCCAAAAGGGAGCGCTGCCAGGATTATAAATACAAAAGGCAGGCAAATACCGAGCAAAGTGAGAATGAGTCGCTATTATTAAATAACTACCCACTCAGCATCCCTAGGTTGATTCGCCATATAAACTTTCATCCCCATTTTCATCTCTTTATGGGATTATTTCCAGAATAAAAAAAAAATCTGTCTTTTCCAGGGTCTCAAACTATCTTCTTATTAAATTTCATATAAATCAGTCCAGTAGTTTTTGAGTTTATTCGTTACAAACATACAAAAGTACAACTCTTTCTTGCTTAATTTATTGTAGATATTCATCAAACAAACCAACATAATGCATTATCAAGAGTCAGATGTCGCGCCTAGTGTATACCCTACGTAGTGGTACATATAGAGCTAACGAACCATTCATTCGATATCGGTGGCCAGTGATTTAATATCACATGAATCAAAAGCATTTGCAATAAACAACGCGGCAGCGGATTTGGAATTTGTTGGAATTACGTCACTTGGCTCAATGATATTTTATGATTGAGCCGTTCATGAGCGTGACATGTTTGTTGTTTATGCGTCTGTATATTGCAATAAAATATTGTTTTACTGTCACTCGATGTTAATCGTAAATCTGTAAAGTCCGAATATAATGTGGTCATATTTTAATATTATTGGCTTATGTTTATGGGTGGTGGATGATGTGGGGTTCTATTTATTGGATGGCGGACTATTCTAGCATGGGTAATTTGTTGTAGACATGGCGGTCCATAAGTAAAATTCTTACTGCTAAAAGAGAGTGAAGGTTCAAATAAATGTTCCAACCCCATCGGCGGCAAACTTCTTAGATATTCGTGTTCAAATATCATTTTCAAATGAACAAATGCGCATAACTGTATTAAAATGTCTTTGCTAAGTATATTGTAAATTCTTAGTCTTTTAAATCTTTTAAATAGTTCTATAGCTAATTCGCTTTATACAAACAGACAAATATCCATGTATATTTATATGTATAATATGTAATAATGTAAGACCCTATTATCCACATTTTAGTTTACTAAAGTTATATAAGAACTTCGACTAGTTATATAAAGTTGTGAAATATCTAGCCATTGATATCAAATATTGAGACAACACTTGTAAATTTGCTTAACATTGTTGTGTGTTTGCTCGTAACTCTGTATTTATAGGATTAGGTTGGAAAGTTTGACTAAACACGTTACAAATTAGTTAACCCAGCAGACTCTTCGTTCCCAACTACATACGAGTATATGACGATGTTAATACTAGCATTGACAAATTTAATAAGGTTATAGAAGCATTTTATATTTAGATATTTTTTCTGTTGATTCCACAGGTTTATAGGATATTAACTTTAACTTAAGTATTATCATGACTGCGCCAATTTTGCTTAGTAACATTGTCACAGTCTTGAAGTTAGATTAAATACTAGCGATTCACCCTCGCTTCACTCGGGTTCTTCCCTAGGTTGATTCCCAATACAAACTTTCATTCCCATTTTCACCCCCTTAAAGGATTATTTCCGTAATAAAAAGTATTCTATCCTTCCCAGAGTCTCAAACTATCTTCTTACCAAATTTTATCTAAATCGGTTCAGTAGATCCAGAGATTACCCCCTACAACGTCACAAACTCACAAAGTTTACCTCTTTATAATATTAGTATAGATGTCAAAAGTAGAGAAAAATCCCTTTATCCAACGGGTTTTTTTATAGTGAAACACTATATAATACTAGCATTTACTTGTGGTTTTGCTTAGGAAGTTTATCATATTACTATGATAGCGTGATTTTAGAGCACTTTACAATATATATATATATATATATATATATATATATATATATATATATATATATATATATATATATATATATATATTATATTAAATACAAAAAATATTTTTTACAAGGTCGGTAGTTTCAAAGATAGGCGATTTCAAAATATCTTTAGCTTTATAATATCAATGTATTGTAACAATAATAATCAATATAAGGCATATTGCAATTTATGTTATCTGTTAAATTTTATATGTTGTCTATGATTTTTTGTCAGTGCATTATTAAACAATAAATGAGATTTGACAGTCTGTTGAAATTGCTTAGCGTGTTTTTATCATATAATATTAGTAATAAAGTCTACATGATAACAATTATAAAAGGAGGTAATGTTCGTTAATTTCAATGAAAACGATAATCTACTAGAATTAATTCGAAAAATT